TGCTTCTTGTTGCCTTCATGCCTAAAATGCTTCAATACCCTTTTTTGCTGATTCCTTTGCCTCCAGACTTTTTCTCTTTGGCCTTACGTGCAACACCCAAATCAAAGTTCCTAAGCATAATTTTTTTAGCAACATTAGTACTTACCTTATAGTTTTCCAGTGGTTCCCAATCTACTGTCAGGTCAAATGAGTCTTAAATATGAGAGTGTCCACCATCTAATCCTCTTAAGCTGTCCTCACTTGCAGTTGCTTAGATGTACACTATGTACAAAATACCCTACCTTTCTCAAAGCTTCAAATTACTCTTTTCTCTACCTGTCCAGAATCCTCTACATCAGAATTCTTTGTTTTCTCTACCTGTCTGTAATTAAAACAACCATTCTAGAAACACCTGTCTTCTTTGCTCTCTCCTAACTATTAAATACCCTTGAATGTTATACATATATCCTTTTCTTATGTGTCACTCTGTATTACTCTATCAATTCTACCATGGAAATTGCTTTCAAATGTGTTGTTCCCTCTCCGTCTTTCCTGGCTCTGGCCTGGAAGGTTGCACAAACCCAGTTCAACATTCTGTTATCCTACACTAGAGTTTGAGTATCTTTAAAATGGAGATCTATTTATGCCCAACACACACACACGTTAGAGACATTTCATACCCTTTAAGCAAAAGTCCAAACTCATTAGCCAGTCTGGCATTTGTAGCCCACGTTTAGTTCTCTAGTCTCATCCTACCACTTCTTATCTGAGGCCTTCATGCTCCTGCATATATACTTCCTTCTCTGAACCTAGTCCCCTACAATCATCCTTACAACCATCTCTGCCTCCAGGTCCCCTACCTTCACTCCACATGCCTATTAACTTCTCCTACATTATTTAAAAAAAAAAAACATTATTGCAAAATAAACAAAGATACACAGGAGGTCATAAAGAATGTATAGGAAGTCCTTTGCAATCTTCCTCCAGTCTCCCCCAATTTTTTTAAAGAATTATTTATTTAATTCTATTTGTTATTGTTATATTTTATTTGGCCACCAGAGAGAGAGAGAAAGGGAAAGCAAGAAAGCAAGCCACCAGGTCTGGAACTTGAACCATGGTTGGCCATGTGGGAATCCAGCGCCCTTATCCACCACACCGCCTGCCGGCCCCAGTCTCCCCCAATGTTGACATCTCACACAATTGAAGTACAATATCAAAACTGACATTAGTACAAGCCATAGAGTTTGTTTAGACTTCAGCAATTATTCATGCACTCATGTGTGCGCATGTGTGTGTGTGTATATCTCTATGCAATTTTATTACATGTATAGCCTTGAAATACACAATCAAGATATAGAGTTGTGCCGTCACCACAAGGCTCCCTCATGTCACTGCCTTATAGCCACACCCATCCTTAAACTCTGACAGCCACTAATTTGTGTTCCATATCTATAGTTACTGTTTCACAAATGTTACATAAAGAAAAGCATGTGATACATATTCTTTTGAAATTGGCCTTACTTGTCCAGCATAATTTCTATGAGATCCATCCAATTTTTCTGCATGCATCAATAGTTCATTTCTTTTTCTTTTTCTTCAGTTTTTAGGTTTATTTCTTTTGTCCATGAGTGAGAAAGAAAGAAAGAGAAAGGGAGAGACAGGCACTCTCCCAACAGATTCTTAATGCCATGATACACTCCTAGCTTCAGCCAGTCCCGGATCAGAAGCACATGCATATTGGACATGCTCAGTGAGGTCTCCAGATGTGACCCCTGAACTTTCTCATGTGTCAGCCTCACAGAGCATTGCAGTACTGGTGTGCCACCATACAGCCCCTGTTTACTTTTTATCAATGAACAATATTTCAGTAGTATGGATGTGCCAGTTTGTTTACCATTTACCTGTTGAAATACATCTGGGTTCTTTTCAGTTTGGGGCTATTACAAATAAAGCTGCTATTAACATGTGTGTACAAGTTCCTACATAAAATAAGTATAAATTTCCCTGGAATAAATTGACCAAGAGTATAATTGCTGGATCACATGGTAAGTCTATTTTTAGTTTTGACAGAAACTGTCAAGCTGTTTTCCAGAGTGGCTATAACATTTTACATTCCCACCAACAAGGTATGCGTGATCTAATTTCTTTACATCCTACCAGGAATTACTGTTTTCACTATTTTTCATTTTAGTCATCCTTTTTTAAAATTATTTATTTAATTGTATTTATTATGATGATTTTTTTAAATTTGACCAGAGAAAGACAGAGAGAGAAAGCCAAAGTGAGAAAGCAAGCCACCAGGTCCAGGACTCAAGCCATGGTCAGCCATGTAGGAGTCCAGCACTTCAACCACCACACCACCTACCTGCCCCCATTTTAGCCATCTTGAGAGTTGACTCAATATAGTTTTTCTCATCCTTTTTTCTTTCAAAAAAAAAAAAGATCTATTTCTTCCTTCCATGAGCGAGAGGGGGAAAAGAAACAAAGGGAGACAGAAAAGGAGGCAAACACCCCTAACTGTGTCCTCACACCATCCTCTACCCCAGCCAGATTCATGGACATGGGCACTCAGGGTGTACAAGGAGACTTTGAGACACAAATCCAAGCTTCGGCATCACAGAGCATTGATTGCACGGTCTTTGCACCACCATGGCTGGCCAGTTCCTCTCATCCTTTAAGACATAAGTCAAGAGTTACTTCTGTAGGCACTTTCCTAACATCGTCTGGAAAAGTTGATTGTTCCCTCCTCTGTACCATCTCTGGTACTTCATTTATCAATGTATTAAAATCATTTATTGACATAGTCTGTGTCTTTCCCCTTCTTCTGGATACATGAATATAGGAACTGTGCCATATTCATCTTTATTCCTGCAGCATCTGGTACAGTTACATGCTGGGCACACAGTGGGTACTCAGTGAATGCATGCTAAGTGAGAGAATGAATGAAAGGAACATTAATCTTCCTTGCCTTCCCTTCCTCCCCCTTAAGCTAAAAATCTTTTTAGAACAGACATCTTACTTTCTTCTATGTCTCTCAGCAGCTACTAATAGGGGATTGTGTAGGTATAGATGTTCAATAAATGTCATCTGACCTAATCAGGTGGCTTATCTTTCCTCTGCACCCAAGAGATAAGCATATGAAAGATAAAATAGGCCCAAGTATCTTTAAGCACATTAAGGATCATATATCATAATTTTATAATATTCTTATAATCTCTACGATCACTCAATATTTGTCTGTGTAGATGAGAAATAAAAACAAAATAGTCCTTTGAGTCAAAAGAATGTCTCTGTAGCTGAGCAGTATTAAATGGTTTCAAAATTTGGGGACAGCATTTTTTATCTTTGAATTCCTTTTGCAATTTCAACAGGATCTGTTTTTTTTCTAGTTTTGCTGCATTGGTGTAATTTGACATGTTGATTATAAGGGGGTCATTAACCTAAACATTTTTGACCACTTTCTGACTCTGCATTTTCTCAAAGTACACTTTCCGAAGTATATAAATTTGCTCTTGTTTATATGTCTCTGTAAGAGTTACTCAGGCCCTTGAGGACTGGTATGTATTTTGTTTGGAAAGTAGATTGTAAGCCCCTTGAGAGCAGGGACCTTGTAACTCCTAGAAATGCATCCTGGACGTTGTCAGTGTTCAATTAATTATAATATTGGAAAGCTGACTAAGGTCATCTGTCACATAAACATCTTCCTTTTCATCTATAAGGCTTCTATCAAAAAAAGCAGTTAGGTTGATTTGATGGCATTGAGTGATTCTACCCAAAAGTATGCTCATTCTTACCCACTGTATTTGTTCTTTCTTTCTTTTTTTTTTTTTTTTTTTGAGAGGTTTTTTGCTATAGGCGTGCACACTGGCCAGAAAGACAGAGGAGAGACAGAGAGACAGAAAGCAAGAAATCACCTCCCAGGGGGGATGGCCACGCCGCAATCTCTTCTCTTCCATTCTCCCAGGATCTTGGGCATGCACACACACACACCCAGCGTGAGTTTAAGCTACTGGGTTCATGACTCGAACCGCAGTCAACTACATGGGAGTCCAGCAACATAGCCATTACACCAACTGCTGGTTCCTATTTGTTCTTTCATGGTGCTTTCAGGTTTATAACTTTGGACCACTTGCTACAGTTCCCTTCCCTATAATTCCCTAGTTACATGTGCACTGGGGAGGACTGCATTTCACAACCCTCAAGTCCTTTTGCATAATAAAAAGTAAGCTGATAACATCTATGCTTTTAAAACATCTACTTCTTCACTTACTCAGCCCCCACAGATATGTGGGTGATAAACTCTTAAGTGTGGTAGCAATCTTAAATTAACAGAAAGAATCTTAAATAACTGTTCAATGTATAAGAGTTATTTTTCCCAGACTTTAAAATGAAATAAATGTGTATATATACTTTATGACTGTTGAAATTAAGTTAATATGAATACTTCAAGGAAGTCTAAGTTTTTTGTTTTTTGGGGGTTTTTTTTTTGAGAGGTTTTTGCCATAGGGTGCATGCACTCGCCAGACCGAGAGAGACAGAGAGACAGAAAGTGAGAAATCACCCACCAGGGGGGATGGCCACACCGCAATCCCTTCTCCTCCATTCTCCTCTTGGGATCTTGGGCACGCACGCACACGCGCCCGGCGTGAGTTTTAAGCCACCCGTGGTCCAGGACTCGAACCATGGTCGACTACATGGGAGTCCAGCGACTTAGCCATTACACTAACTGCTGGTCCCAGGAAGTCTAAGTTTTAAAATAGAAGGACAATTTGTTCATTGGTGAGGGCAGAGGTAGGGGGAATTATTTTGTATGTCAAGTTTATTAAGGTACAATTTACGTGTAGTCTGATTCACCCTTTCTAGGTAGAAAATTTGATGAGTTTGACAGGTTGTGTGTGTTTTTCCCCCTTAACTATTTTCTGATTGAACTATACTTCCAACTCACTCTACCAACACCACTACTCCTAGACCAAATTGACCCATCTTTTTCTGATATTTTATATATTTTCTCTTTCCAACAGTGTACTAAAAGAGGTATACCGAGCCTTTGATCCCAAAGCAGTGGTTTTACAGCTGGGAGCTGATACGATAGCTGGGGATCCCATGTGCTCCTTTAATATGACTCCAGTGGGAATTGGAAAGTGTCTTAAGTACATCCTTCAGTGGCAATTGGCAACACTCATTTTGGGAGGAGGTGAGTACAAAAAAAGTGCACCAAGAGAATTTGTTGGCCTTTCTCCACATTTTTGTCTGTTGATGCTGAGGAAAACTCGACTTTCTTGGATTGGATAATACTAGCCTGCCTGTGGCCCAGAATCCTGAGTCAATCATATCGGCTACCTCCATAGTTCAGCATAAGAAAGTACTCTGAAACACTTCTCCTCCTCAGCTTGGCATATGTCTTGGCTCCTGAGAACTATGAAATCTAAGTTTTAATTCCTGAAGCGAAGATCCTTTGGTTAAAGGTCACATTAGATCTTAAGAATACAAGATATCTGGCCAGCATTTGGTGTGGTACATAAGCCACTAGACTCCTACATGGCCAACTACAGCTCGGGCTCCAGACCTGGTGGCTTAAAAATCACACTGGATGCACATGTGCGCATGCCCAAAATCTTAAGAGGAGAATGCAGGAGAGGGAATTGTGGCATGGCCTTTCCCTGCCCCACACAAATGAGGTGATTTCTCTCTTTCAAATTGTCTGTCTGTCTGTCTCTCTCTCTCTCTCTCTCTGGCAAATGCATGCATCCTATGCATTCCATGCATCCTATTTTAAAGTCTTATAAAAAAAGAATACAAGATGTTAGCCTCAAGAGACTTTAACCATCTTAGTATAAATTTTGAATCTCAGTTCTAATCATCATCTTTTAAAAATAAACAACTGAAATTCTACTCTACCTATATGTAAGAAGTAAACACATGAATCAGTTATTCAAGCTGAATTCAAGAATGACTCTTCCCCTGAAAAAAAGCATGGGTTTGTTTATAAAGAAGCAAAACTAAGAGATCAAAAGGGTCTCTTTGTCATTCTTGCCTTCAGTATATACTAATAGTTAAATTACTTAACCAACAGAAAGTTAAATAGAAGCATTTATACATTTGAGAAAGGTACCTTTCACAACCTTAACTATCCTTGAAGATGCCTTGCTTAGAATCTTCTGTCTACCTGTCTAGGATGATCTTTATTTCATTAGATAAATGGATTGATATGTTAAAGAAACATGGTCAAGCAGATTGAGAAATGTATATATTATGGAAGGACTAATAGTTTGCTGTTTGGGTCAGCCTGTTGTAAAAAACAAATTAGGGGAAATTACAGGAAGGCCTTACATAAATGAGCAAGCATTCAACACAAATACACAAACCTAGGCCTTTGGCAGCCTCAAACCCTAGAGGAATCAAAATTAAAGGTGCTTATAAGAGATAACTTCTTATGAAAACTGGCAAGAAATATATTAACTTCAACTAGAGAAAACGTTAAGAATTGATAAGAATGGAATGACATATTACTTTCCTTCATAGCACTAAGGAAGGTGACTATGATACAAATATAGCTGTGAAGCAGGGAAGGAACGTGCTTTCTAAAACATACACTACGAGAATTTGACTTTTCTTTGAGGCTACACCCTTTACTTGTCAGTATTCTCTAAAACCTTTTTGCTTTCTCAACCCAAAGTTTGGGGTTTTGAATCAGTAATTCTTCTTAGGCAATATGGGTATTCATGAAAATTCTTATGCATAAGTGGAATTTCTGCAAATCAATCATATTGTATGTGCACTGGTGACTGCTTACTACTTAAGCAAAAACTGTAGTGACTATGAAGTTAAATAATCATACCGAATAAGTCTGTCTTATAAATTCATATTTTTCCATATCTGGAGTGTTTAAGGTAATGCATGTACTATTTAGCTAAAATTCTCAGTCCTATTAACACATAGATAATAAGTAAAGATAGCCAGATCCTTAAGTGGGTCCTTTAATGGACACCACTAAGGCCTAAAAGACACATTCCAGAAGCCCCAGCATTCCTGACTTTTCTAATAGTATAAAGGCTTGAGTAAAAAGTGACCATCATATGTCCCAATTTATATATGTTACCCTAGTATTATAATTAAAAGTCTCTTCTTTTACTCTTAAAAATATATCATTTTAGATGATTATTTATATGGTCACCCTATCTTAAACAGAAGAGATTCTGTTTCCTTTAGGTTTCATCAAGGTTATGAAATCAGTCCATTTTATCCTTACACTCTTCAAGTTTAACTAAAGGCCAATGTTCTAATACTTGCATAGCAGAGCATATCTATTCAGCACAAAAATATGCTGGTTATTAGCCATAATAACATGGCTGCTGGGTGATTGTGACAGGACCTGACGAGATGGGTCAGATTGTCAATCAGCAGTCACTTCCTCATCTCAGTCTCTTTGATCTCTGTGACCAGATCTATGTTTCATTGCAAAAAGGAATGCTGATATTTAAAAAAAAGGAAGTCTGCTTCAGTTAGCACTTTACTTTCTTTTTCCTGGATGTGTTTACGTGTGTCAATAGCTTTAAAATACAAATCATTTCTAGCAGACTTGTTGCAAAATTCATCACAGAAATCTTCACTGGGTGGGTCACATCAAGAGATCCCATTCCAGTAATCTTGTTTGTTTTAGTTTTTGTTGTTGTTTTGGCTTTGGGTTGTTTTTGTTTGTTTGTTTGCTGTAGGGCACGCATGTTTGCTAGAGATAGATAGAGAAGGAGAGAAAGAGCGGGAAAGTGAGAAATCACCCTTACCCCCCTCCCCCCCCAGGCAAGAATGGCCACACCACAATCCCTTCTCCGTTCTCCTCTTGGGATTTTAGGCATGCACATATGCTACTTGGCAATGATTTTCAAGCAACCAGGTCCATAACTCAAACCACAAAGTAAGACATGTGGGATCAAACTGCCTTAACCTCCATGCCGCTTGCTGGCCCCAAGGTTTTCTTTAATTTTTGTAGACCTTAGACTTTACAGTTCTATATTGTGCATAATCTGACTGGTCCATCAAAGTCTGCCTACTAAGTTGTTTAAAAATAGTATAAAGGGATGTATAGATGAAATTATGCATGTTGGAGTTGTCTTTTTATCCCTTTTATTAAAACATTTTTCTCTCCTTCCTT